GTGATTTTATTTTGAGAAATATTAAAGTATGAGTTTTCTGTAAGATCTGTATAATTTTTTTTTGACCTGGTTGAAATTTGAATATTTTTTAAAAACTATATTATATTATAATTATTAAGTAATATATAATCAATAATTAAAAATTATATTTAATACAAATTGTATTATTAATAAAAAAATTTTTAAATAATAAGAAAAAATATATAGTTTAAACTATTTAATTTATAAAATTTAACTTTTTCAAAATTTTTATAGTATTTAAAAAAATATTTAGTCTGATATTGAGCTACAGTACCAATTGAAAGTAATGGCGACAATGATTTATTAAAATTTTTTTTTTCAAATTAAGTAGATACGAAATTTAAAATATATATAACAATATAACTAATAAAAAATATATTTGTATAAATTTTATATGATTGTTTTCTATTTTGATTTTTTTTCTAATTAAGTATCTCCTATAATAATTAATGATAATTGACAAAAAGTTATTATTTTGTAAAAGTGTTATATCCACAGTTCAGCTAAAATTTCCAAATAAACTTATATTTTCTTGTACTCTTGTGAACATTATGTAGCCTTCTTATATAAAATCAGTTGTATTTCTAAAATTTATTGTCCAGGTTATTCAAGAAAAACCAGTTCTAATAAATATTGTCAAATCAGACAAATTATTAAAAATAATTCTTTTGCAATAGCTAATAAAATTAAAGCAAGACTTGAAAAAACTTACTTTAGCTTTGAAGTAAATAAATGTACTATTCGTATTAAGTTTACAAAACTTGAATTTTCTGTTATTCTTTTAATATGTATTCTTTTTCTTACAAAATATGCAAAAGAAAACTGTTTACAGTGAATATATGATTATCTTCATTATAACTGACACAGAGTTATATTTTCTGATGAAATCATATTACAAATGTTTTAAAACACTTGCCTTGCATAATCTTGTAATAAATAGTTGGTAGTATCAATAGTTAAATATTGTTTTAAATTGCATATTTGGATAGCAATTAGTGAATACAAAAAAATTAATCTTTATATATTTACAGAAAACTTGAATTATCACCTTTGTTATAAGATACTAAATGACTGTCTTTATAACAATACAATAAGCAAATATAGAATTTAGTGGATCTTTCAGTATAATAATAACACAAAATACATTTATATATCTCTAAATATACAGTATATACAGTAATTTTGAAATCAAACTTTTAGGTTGTGTTCTGCCATGGCTATCATATAGCCCAGATATTAATCCTGTTAAGAATATTTAGATAGTAATCTTTGTTGGTATAAATTTTTCTAATTGATTAGTTGTTTTTAATATAATTAACTAGTTATAATTAAAAATTTTAAATTTTAAATAGTTAATTTTAAACTTTTTAACTAATACTACATCTGGACTTATTTAAAATGTAATGTAAAAATAAGTAAAAAGAATAATTGTAAAGAAGAAAAAAATATCAAAAGAAGTTTTTGTTGCATTGGTACAAGAGAAGTGAAAGAATATTCTAGAAAAAGTAATTCTTTTGAATATTTGAAGCATGACTAATCAAATTCAAGCTTGTATAGATGTAGATGAAAATTATATTAAATATTAAAAAAAATTTTTTTTAAATATATCATTATTAAAATATATTTAATTAGAAAAAAAATTTTTTTAATAAATAAAAAAATTATTTGATCTAAAAAAAAACTATCTACCATTACTTTCAGCCTATATTATAATTATAAGATTAGAAATAGATTTTGTTTTATTTAAACTTAATTATAAATTAATTAATATATTAAAATTTATCAAAAAATATATATTTTTGAATAAAAAAAATTTTTAAAAGAAAATTGATTATAAATAAAAAAAATATTTTAAATTAATATTTTATAATAAATTTATTAGTTGATTATTAATAAATTTTGAATATATTTTTTTTAAAAAAATTTTTTTTAATTATATTTATTTTATTAAAAATTTTTTTATATTAATTTTTGTTAAAAAAAATATGTTATATTTTTTATTATAAGTGAGTCTAGCTTAAGAACTCAAAAACTTTTAAAATAACAGATGTAATGAAATAAAACTTTCAATGAAAATTTTTTTCAAGTTTGAAATTTTTATTTATTTTTTAATTAAATGAAAAAAGATCTGTAATGATTTTTTTTTTTAATTTTTTTTTGTATTTACTATATTAATAAAACTATTTATATTATTGTTATTATATTGTCAGAGGGTAAAAATTGTGACGCAATTCCAATCACGTGATTAATCATTGCGATAGTACTGCAAAGGACCCATTCCGATCACAGTACTCAGGATGGTATGGAGGAAAAAGTAAGCAAAAGTATGAAAATGGTTAAAGTAATAGTAGAATAGCTTGTTAGATAATTAGGTAATGAAGAGAGGAGTGTAAAAATGATTAGATAATATGAAATACTTGTGATTGAGCATTATGTAATTAGGGAGAATCGTGAGAAGACATTAGATAATCGATGTTACCTTTTTGTAATATAAAAACCGTCCCAACTAAGATGTATAAAAAGAGAAAAGTAAAAAGTAAATAAAGGGGAGGCGGAGATTGCCAGATCAATCAAATTATCTTTTACTTGACCAAATCATACATGCCTTAAAATTCGCTAAGACCCCTTACCTCATCGACGGTTACGCGATGTTCTGCTCAATTTAGCGACAGACTCGCTGAGTAACCGTCACAATATTTACTAAACCAAATACTTTTAAAAAACATATTTAAACAAAGTTATTAAATTTATTATTTGTTCTAATACAATTATAATATTTGATATATTTAATATATTGTTTTATAACTTTCAAAATTTTTAATTAATTAAAAAACTAAAATCAATTTATTTAGTCAGATCATTATTATCTTTTAATTATTTAATTAGATTTTATTAAAATACCAAACTAAAAATTAAATTTTAGTTAAACTGATTTTTAATTTAATAATAATAACAACAATTATTTAACAATAAACAATATTAATTATACTTCAAAATTTATATTAACAAAGGTTATATTATTAAATAAAAAAAATCAAAAAGCTAGAACAATATATTTGTTTGGAAAAATTCTTGAGGATATTTCTTTTATTTTTATATATTCTATAGAATTTTTGATTTAGTTTTAAATTTAGCAATCTATGTTATTATAATCCAGTTTTAATTTTTACTTTTACTTTTATTTTTATATTTTATAAAATTTTTTGAATAAATAGATATAGCCACTGCTTAGCTATATTTAATATATATAATATTATTTTAAAATTTATTTTCAATATTAGTTAAATATAAATTGTATAGGTTAGCTAACATTTGACTTGCTGCTAATGTACAGTATATAAGAAATATTGTTTCTTTTATAATATATACTTTAAAATATACAAATTAAATAAAAAAATTAATGTTTATTTATTGGAAACAAATAAAAAAACAAAAACTAGAGTAATTATTAGTTAGATAATATTAAAAAATAGTAGCTTAAAAACTTTTGTAACAGATTGTATATACAATATATTGATAATTCCAATTATTTAATTTTTTTATTTAATAAAATATTGATTTTTATTTTTTGTTAATTTTAAATTTTTCCATCTACTCATTTTTAAAAGACAACAATAACTCATCTCTTATTTCTATCAATTCTTCAAATATAATCAATTAATGTTATAACTGTTATCGCAGTTATTTTTAGCAAAGAATAAGCATAATCAAATAATAATGATAAAGCAAAAATATATATAATAAATACAAACATATTGCAAAAATTTTAAAATCGAGTATTTATTTATTATTCAATACTAATTAACTAGAGAATAACAGTGATTATATTACATAATTCTTTTTCGCAATCCCTTCCTTCTCATAATTAAATAATTTGGACCGCCAACCAGAAACAGATTTCTCGCGGCGATCCGTCACGTGACTACGTCGCGTCCCAAACTTACCCTGTTACAATAGTTTGTCATGACGTGTTTATGAATAAGTGTTTTGGGCTTTTTTTTTAGATGTAGAATTTTGAATAAAATCATTACGCCTTTAAACCTTACCTTTACTTTGTATATTGTATCCAGTACAATGCCAAAATTGACTTAAGTTTGACCTTATTAGGCTAGGATAACCATGGAAATATGTTATCGGAACTTCAAAACAAGGAGAAAGCAAATTATTGGTTTAAAAGGTCATGATGTAAAAATTTTCATCGTTAAATATTGATTAATATGCTTTTTACCATGTTTATAACGAACTGAATTTCCGAAATAACAAGTAACTCTTTGTCAACTTACCACTTTGCATCAATAAACAGATGAAAATCGCGATAAAAAAGTAAAAACAACAGTCACGAAATACAGTAGTTGGACTATCCACCTGTAGTATTATTATTCACCACACGAAATCATTGAGACGATCATTTTATCTGGCACTGTCTTCCAAAATTGGGTTGAATATCTTTAGCTGTCTTTGGATCGACAATTCCGATAGCTAATTTCGGATTCAATGGCGTCAAATGATTTAACAAATAAGCACATGTCTTGAAGAACAGGAACAGGTTTCTTTTAATCTAGTAGGTTACCAAAACCGAAGAACAGTTAAAAAATAATTAATTTGGATGCCATACATGAGACACTATCTAAATAATCAAGATTGGGAAACATCTACAATTACGGCGTTAATGCCTTTGTAGTTTTCCTAATAGTTCTGTAAACCGTTTATACTAGGTGAATATACATTCACACGATGCAAATGACCACAAAGATAGAAGCCTGTTCATTACTTATAGAAAACAATACTTTGTTTATAATGTACAAAGAATTTATATCAACCAAGAACATGCATACATTCGTAGTTTCTCTATTTCTATATAAAGACCTGCTCAGATTTTCAACTATTATCATCAATCTACATTCCCATCTCTGGGGTCTAAACCTTATACTATATAATCTTTCATTAACTTTCTTTGACATCACTTTCGCCTTCTAAAAATGAAAATATCCCTTTTTACCATATTTCTTCTTTCAGCTAGTGCGGCTAGCCAATATGTCGGTAGAGGTACAGGCTCCAATCCTCCACTTTTAGTATGGAAGTATAGTAAACGTAATCCCGACGTTCAAGGTGCCGAATTTAATAAACGTGACGCTGATGCTCAAAATGGAACCGGTAGTGGAAGCTTTGGTGTCGGGAAGCGTGATGCTGATGCTCAAAATGGAACCGGTGGCGGAAGCTTTGGTGTCGGGAAGCGTGATGCTGATGCTCAAAATGGAACCGGTGGTGGAAGCTTTGGTGTCGGGAAGCGTGATGCTGATGCTCAAAATGGAACCGGTGGTGGAAGCTTTGGTGTCGGGAAGCGTGATGCTAATGGAGGCGGTGGTGGCATCATGCCTAGCAGGAAGCGTGATGCTAATGCACAAACTGGAGGCAATGCTGGAAGCTTTCCTTTCGGGAAGCGTGACGCTAATGCTCAAACTGGAGGCAATAGTGGTATCTTTCCTAGCAGGAAGCGTGATGCTAATGCTCAAACTGGAGGCAACAGTAGAAACTCTCCTATCAGGAAGCGTGACACCAATGCTCAAAATGGAACCAATTGTGGAAACTTTCCGCCAGGAAAGCGTGACGCTAATGCTCAATATTGATTATTGAGTGACAGATGAAGTCCACTATTTGTTGGAATTATGCTCCTAGCGGAGATGTGAACACAAAAAACATCAATAAGCGATATTTTTACTATCTAAAATTTTACATACAAATTACATACATACACGATCAGGATGAAAGATGAGAATCCATACATGTTCTCACGTTTATAGACGTCTAAAGAAGTTAAAAAAACATCATATTTTATATGTATATACAATATATTTTCATAAACCACTGCATTGTATACATTGATGGCATTTACGGCATTTTAAATAAACTACATTTTGTTATATTTTACATTTGTATTTTTTTTTTCATTATCAACAAATCAAAAAAATATATACTACATTGCATATTCTAAACTCTATTTGTTTAGTGAATCTAAACGTTTAATAATTATTTATTAAAGTGATATTTATACATTGTTATAATTAAGGATGTTAGGTGGTTTGACCGGAACTACTGTAGTTCGACATATTTATATAATTTTTTTAATTTTTTTAAGGTGGTCCATTTAATTTGAGCTATATTCTTTACTTTAATAATTATTACAATCGGTAAGCATAATATTTGTTAAATAAATTTATATCAAAGGTGTCTTTACTGTTTGTTTTTTTTAGAGATGATGGACAGATAGTAGGCATGTTTCTTGTTATATAACTAGAAAAAGGAAACCGTTGAAATGTTCGAAGGATTAATCCATGGTCTACAGTATAATATCGATAATAGTTATTTATAACCTTAATTTAATTATGTAACCTTTCATATTTTTCATATAGAATACGGTAAAAATATTTTCATACGCCTTGTGCATATACACACCCCTACGGTAAATTACCGGGATTTTCACGTGAGTCGACGAACAATCGTTTTTTTTTTTTTTTAATTTTATTTAACTTTCATTAATTTATGTATAGTCAGCAAAAAAAAAAAATAAACTATAATGATCATAATTTATTTTCGCGCAATTTAAAACGTGATATATTAATATTTCGTATTTTTGCCCTTAGCCTTAATAATTGCTTTGACACATCGAGGCAAGCTTAAAATTAAGTGCCCTACCGTTTCAATGCTTATTTTTTCCCATTCCTCTTGTACAATACAAATAAATTCTTGTCTAGATACAGGTAAAGATTTTCTTTTTTGGATCTGACGATCCAAATGGTTCCACAAATTCTCAATTGGATTGAGGTCGGGATTTTGAGCAACCCAATCCAAGACTTGAATCACGTGTGATTTGAGTCACCAAGCTGTATATTAAGCCGTGTGACAACTGGCACCGTCTTGTTGAAATATGGCGCCCGGACTATTACGAACCCAAGGTATAAAGTTGGTGACTAAAACGTTTACGTAAGCCTCCGAATTCATTGTTTGATCCACAAGTACTAAAGGGCCAACACCATTCCACAAGAAACAGCCCCAAAACATAGCTGATCTCCCGCCAAATTTTACAGTAGGCTTAATACAGTCTATATTGTATTCTTCTCCAACCCTGCACCAGACTCATACTCGTCCGTCAGACTCGAATAAGGTGAATCGTGATTCGTCAGACCACACAATTCATTTCCATTTCTCGTTCCAGTCACGTTTGGTTCTGCACCAATTAAGTTGAGCTAAACGTTGTTTATTTGATAAAAGAGGCTTTTTTCGTGCTATGCAACTCCCTAGTCCCATTTCGTGTAAATAGTTTCGAATAGTATTTGCATGAAATGTTGAGGTGAGGTGGATGTTTATGTCATTAGAAATGTTGCCTAGAGGCACGAAACGATCTTTTTAAACATAACGTCGCACTATCCGCTGATCACGGTCAGAAAGGGATTTTGGTCGTCTAGGACGCGTATTAGGGTGAGGGGAATCATTTTTTTTATAGTGATTTATTGTGTCATAAATGGTTGAGGAAGGTATATCGAGTTAAAAGAAAATAATTTTGCCTTTTGTACCTGAAAGATGTGCGCCAATTATTTGTTCACGTTGTTGGGGGCTTAGCTCGGAACCCCGCATTTTTAGTATGACAGAAAACTGTGAAATGAAGAGAGTAACACGAAAAAAACATTTTTGGGTATACAACAAAAATTAAGAAAGAAAAATGATTTAAAAAAAATTTTTTTATTGCGATCAACCAATCGCGATAATCCATCCCGGTAATTTACCGTAGGGGTATGTATAACATCGATCTAATAACGTACCATTAATGATCTCAGATAATTATTTTTAGTATGAAACGTGTATAAACAGATGCTTAGCCTTTAATGTTCTTTATGAAGCTGTGGTACTGTACGACATACGGTGTGTCAACTATTGCGGTTTTATCCTATATTTCTTATATTTCAACATATGAGTGACGTTTCTTGTTAGTTGCTACTCCGATATTCTGCTTAACAAAAAAACAAACGCAGATCAGGGCCTTGAGACAACTTGATTAAAATTAGATTTTACTAAATAAACGAGTTTGCCCAGGTGACATCCTATTCCTTGAAGAATGTTTATAATGTCTTGTGAAGAGTATAACTACAATGACAATTCTATCATCACGTTACAAGGGATTTATATTGTTATAGGAATACAGTAATTGTGTTGGCAATGTGACAATCAGAACGTGTCGCGTAATAATGAGAAATGATGGTAGAATGATGTTGTGAGAAACAATGGTAACGTGATTGGGATCACGTGACCAACAATCGACCTGGGATCGCGAGAAGAAAATGAAAGCAAAAATAGATCTGAAACCGGCGCTTGTAACGAAATAATAATGATGTAATTAGTGTTAGATTAGATAATAGTGCCAGAAAATAGTAGAAATTCCCTTACCTTTTGTTTTGTTTCTAAATTGTTCTTCTAGTTTCTTTGTAAAAAAGTAAAAATGTAGATAGTGGTAACAAAAAGTAATACAATAAAAAGAAGTTACTTACCTCGGTCAAATCGAACGTCTCACCAAAATAATTCATCGTCACAATGTAATAATGTGTTTATGGCATGTAACGGGTGGACGCGTCAACAAGGCATATAAATATATAGTTTTATGTAGTTTGTAGATTTGGTTTCAGTTTAGTTTTTTGGGAGAACACTTCTGTTTTTCTTATGCTCTAAATAAATGCTACTTCATTTTGCATAACAAATACAAAGCGACCCCTAAGTTTATACTATATGCCCAAAGAAGTAGTCTAACAACTAACGACTTTACAACTAAGTTACTGACTCTAATAAGAAAGAAACCATCACTACCAGCGTCTTGTGTAGAAGGACATTTGTAACCTTGTGATGCACTGGAAAATATGATCAAGCAAAGATTAGCAAGTGTGATGAAAGTGACCAAATTGCAACACACTTTGCAGTTAAAGCCTTGTTTTATTTATTACCGTAATTCAAGGATTTGGATTATAATCACACGAAGAGTGAGGCATTTTAGTGATAGACACACCAGTGACGACAACAATATTTATTGATTGTTTTCGTCTTTAGGTTATGTGTAATATTCTTCTATTTTGATGAAAGTGTGAAATCTCTATTACCAAACTTAATTCTATCTGAAAAAAAAAAGTAGATTGGATATAATCACGCATCGCCGAAGAACTTCTCTAAAGAAGTGATTCCAGGTTTGCCTTATATTGAAAAAGGAAAAAAAGTTGTAATTTTTGATTTTGATATTAGAGATCCAGAATACCAAATGTAAGATTTGATTTGATTTATCTTTATTCTATTTTTTTTTTGTTATTTTGTTTACTTAAATTCATGTGCATTAACATTTGACAATTCTTAAATTTATTATAATTAATGGGGTTTATGAGGCCAATGACACTTATTATCTATATTCATTGTAATGGAAATGGTTCTGTGTAACAACATGGAATAAAATATATTTGATAATTATAAAAGCCTTCTCAACAGGAATTACTATCTATTAATTATTCTACCTATTGTTATCGTCACTGGCAAGTCTGTCGCTAAAACGGTTCACTCTTCGCGTGACAATAGTCTGAACGCTTGGATTTCAGTACTAAATAAGGTAAGGCTTTAACTCCGAGGCGGATTACGATTTAACCAACTTTCGCACACTGGCTAATCCCTTCTTGACTGTCTTTCCTAGGCGTGTCTCAAGATTACAAGTGTCACTCTCTTACGGTATACAACGGTAATGTCGCGTCTCTCTTTCTTAAAGATTACTTTACTGTAGTGACGTAAACTTAGTGTATACTTCAAGGAATGTGTAATATGATTGTGCAAAGTTGTGGCATTTATTGAATAAAATGAGAGAACATAAAGAGCATTCTAACACTCTCAACTTAAAGCTCCCAGCTAAACTCTTTTGAAACTCTGATTCCCCTTCAAACTACCTCTAACTATTCTATTTATATGCTTTGTGGACACGTCCATCTCATTATATGCTATTACCAATTATTACATCATTCTACTATCCATGTTGCTGTTATTACGTGACGCGCCACAATATCACATTCCTATTCCTATTGTTCCCACAACACTATCACAAGACTATATCAATTTTACTTTATATTAGCTTGTAACTGTTGACCCAATTTCAATGGGTGTTAGTCAAGATTAATGTGCCAAGCATAAAATAAATAATATTTGTATGTTTTTTTTAGTACATTAATATAATTACATATATAATAAAAAAATCCCTTTTTGTTTTTTTTAGTCAAATATTTTCTTTTAAAAATTTTTACTTTTTCTTTTTCCTTTTTTTTAATAAAATAAATCATATACTGTAATTTCTATAACAGATTGAGTTTAAGATATGCTGATATCACATAAGACTTAAATAACTGTATTAACTATATATGTATTAATATTATCATAAAAATTTTTTAATTGACAATATAATTAGAATTAAATACAATTTTCAACTATTTATTATATGTCAATTAGTAATTTACTATAATATAATTTTTAAAAAACAATAAAATTTAATTTTATCAAATAATAAGCTGAATTATGTAAAGAAATATTTGTGTATAAAAAAAATATAAAAAGATGATTT